CTACTGAAACCAATTATAGAACCACACATTCAGTCAAACAGTGACTGGTGGGATATTTCCAAACAGCTGCCCAACTCTCTGAGGTGGAATTCCATGTTTGCAGGTCTTTATGGGGTCTGTCTTTTCTGTCCTGCAAGCGTTATGCATTGTGCTTAAATTGAAGGTACTGCAAGAGGAGATAATGAATTAGCAGTTTGGATGTTCATGTTTCTTACCTGTGGCTTCTCAGGAAAACTTGAATCAGTAATGAATATAATGTGATTCTTGGCACCCTTGGAAGTCGTAAGAGGCATGCATATGCCTTGTCAGTATATGTTGTCTCTTTCTGCCAGAAGTAGTGGAAGTGAACTATTCCAGCCTCTCTTGCTTGAGATTTTGGTCATGCACTAAATGTCTGTTGTCGGCATGGCCAGAACCCTGCTTCTTCCTCAATGTCTTCCCTATCTGTGTCCTGTTCCTGTGCACCCCAGCTAGCTCTTTAGGTTTATACACTTGATCCAGTCACAAATTGACACTAGACCTGCAAGAACCTTAGTAAAACTTGACATTGTAAAATACACCTTGTTTCCTTGGTGAAGGACGAGAAATACTTTATTGTTGTTTCAAGCTTTGCACGACATATGAAACATGACTATGCTCTTTGTAGAATTGAAAATCTGTTTGTAGGTGCTGTGCTTGTAGATGAGCTATTGGGGTGAGGGGTTTGGAGAGAAGGGGCAGATGTCCCATACTTTTTTTGATTCTATATGGACCACTTTACAAAGTCTTAAATTTTCCTGTGTTTTGTTCTTCTCACTTGCTGTTTTTCTGCATGCTTCTCTCCACTCAGTGGAAACTGGAAGTGTTGCTACAGTATCACCCAGTTCTGAGGGTTTATCACAAGGTGTTTCTCTGATGCGCATTTATCTAGTTGGTAAAGGAGGGGCTCTGATGTTAGCGTGATGAAAGATAACTTTCCCTGCTTTCCCTGACTACTTGTCAGTACTTTGTCTGATTCTTGCAAAGGCAGCTGGAGTTGCTTTGGGGGACTTAATGTCCTTGTTAGTACTTGGGAAAGGGTACTGGCCAGTTGCAAGCTTCAGGTAAAAGCAAGAGCTCTCTTTGAGGGTCTTCCCTCTTGCTCTAAGCATAGTGAAGTGAAAGTCTGAGGCCTTGTGAGAGCTAATTGTCTCAACTGATTGATGGACAGAATGGGAGGCGTTTACAAATGTCAGAGAGGGGCTGGTCTGCACACACAGAACTTAGAGACAAGCTGTTGCCTAGTTGTGCCATTAGCATTAATATCTGGGTGACAGAGTGCTCTGGACTGACTGCTGAGTTCTTCCAAGCACTCACATGTCCTGTGGTGTAAGGGCTGACTTGTGAGAAACCACAGCTGTCGGCTCCATGCCGATAGCCCTCCAGCTTTGCCAGGAGGAAATGGATGATAGGGCAAGCTGTGTGTGCGCTACAGCAGCAGGTCAAAATAACTGGCTGCTTCATATGAGTTTCTGAATCTGCTAAATGGCTTTTGAAGTACATGTCCCTGGGCTTTTCCCTGGGGTGAGTGTCTGCAGGACAGCTGTGCAGGAAGCCCAGCAGGGCAGGCAAGAGGGGCATGAGGCTGCTGTCAGCAGTTCAGCTGCTGTTGTGTCCTGGAGGGGGGAATGTTCTTCAAGGGGAAATGTGGTTGGGTTTCTTGGACCGCATCTCCTCCCCTTGCTGCTGTTCTCACAAGTATTTCACAGACTGTCAAGTGAGGCCTGAGGTAGCCTCTGTTTAAAAGGGAACAGAAAAGAGCCTCTTACAACCACGAGTGTTGACCTACAGCACATGATCATGGAGAAGCTTAATTCAGGTATTCACTTAACTCTAATGAGTGTTGATCTCCTCAGTGATGGCCTCTCTAGGCTGGCTATTATTGCAATGTTATAACTGCTGAATCTGTATATGCAAATAGGTTGTCATTACTCAAGAATCTTAGTGCATGGGAAACCTGCTCTAACAATGCTTTAGAGCATGGATATTATCAAATGTAATGGGATGATTTCCTTTTCCAGTGCTTGCATGTTCATGTGTCAGTCACTAACACATGACTGGAACTTGCAAGATGAATCATAGGATCATCTCACTGCTTATGTGGGAATTTGATACTTCGCAATTTCAGTATTTTCTAAATGAAAAAACAAATGAATAATTCATACCTGAAACTCTGAGTGCCAGTTCCTTCAGTTATTAATCCAGTTACTGATTAACATTGCGTGCTTCTTCCTGTATTACCTAACAGCTCTTTGTTCACATGACCTCCAGGCAGTCAATTCTCTTACAAGAATGCAGAAGTGCAATACCAGAACTTCTTAAAATCTCTCATTATTCTTTATTCTGTAAGTTGTTTCTAGTATCAAACAACACTGTTAAAACAGAAAGACCAGAGGGCTTGTTCTCTCTTGCCCTGCCATTTATCCTTGCTTGCTGTGTATGTTGTAACTATGATCCAGAGCTTTGGTTTGATTTTTCTCCAGGAACTATATGTTCTCAAGGACCACTTGTTGGCCAAGTGAGGTAAAAATTACCATAGTAGTGATTCTGCATTGGGCTGGGGATGGAGCCCTGTGGATCAGGATGCTGGCAAGCGTCCATTTGTGTGTACATTGCAGGAACATCAATGTGTTGCTGTGTTTTGGTCATTGTCTCTCTCATCTGCTGTGAGCTTAGATTTTCTGATTTAGTCATATTGGAAGTAACCAACAGAGATTACAGAGACCCTATTCTAGTAACAGTTACCTCTTCTCCCCCAAAAGATATGGCATCTAGCTCTGCATAAACTGAACACCTGAATTGATAGCTGACATATAAGGGAGGGATGTGGGACCAGTGCTTTTTCTCCTGTAGGCAGAAGGGCTGCCTGGCACTCCCAGGTGAAAGTAGTCTATTTTTCTCTAAGAGAAAGGTTCCCAAAATGGTTCTTGCAGTTGATGACTTTGAACAGTATTGATTGAAATACTGAGTTAAGGAGTATAATGCCTCTGTTAATTTTCTCTAATACTTGGTACTAGTCTGAAAATCCCAAAGACCTCCAGTACAGCCTTCAGCCTTGCGTCAAAGCAGTTGCTTAGTAAAATCTTCAGATTTGGTCCAGTATTAAAATCTGATTGCTAAATTACATGTATTGTTCTGGGTTTGTTTCAGAAACATTGATATCAGTGGTCATGCCTTACTTGAACCTCTGAGTTGCAAATTTTTGGCTCTATTCTTTCTACAGCAAACATTAAAGCAGCAATCTACTTGTACTCAAGAGAGTAGGCTTATTTGCCATGTGGGGAGATTCACATACTTGGTAAAGTGTGTGTGCACCACAGTTTGTGAAAAACATTTCAGCTGAATGATTTGTTAAAGTTTCATGGCTTAAAACTTGTCTCCTGAGAGCAAGGTTCATTTAATATAATTCCTAAAATCCCATTTAAATGTACTGAAAATACCTTTTAAAGAATTGTGTGACAAAGGACTTCAAGTATCCCAAGTTCAAGTCTCTGGTGGTAATAATAATAATAATAACAATAATAATGAAATCTACATTAAAATTCCTGACTGACTTCTGTTTGAAACTAGGAAGACATGAACTCCTAATGATGGCCCACTTATAGTTATTTTGGCTCTCTTGGTTTGTGGAAAATTGATGTACTTGGAGACTGGGGCATTCTGAATGAAATCTGAATTCTTGGCAGCTTCTCCCTATGGATGCCACAGGTTTGGCAGCACAATACATCACTTAGGTCTTTCTCATCAGGACTGAGCATTTTAAATGGAATATTTCTTATTAATATAAGAACAATGACAGTCCAAGTCTGAGATTTTATCTGGTAAGTAATTTGTACTACTCTTTACAGATGTATTTTATAATTAGTAAATAACACGTAAGTTCCAAAATGTTGTCTTAAATCCTTGAGTGCTTCACAGGCTTACAAAGTTTGGGAAATTCTGACTACAGGAGATTGTTTTAAGAAGTCATGACAGTCTTCTGACAAAATTGAGTTAGTGACTTTCACCTTGTGTTCTGGGAGATGGGGAGGCAGGAATGGTGTGAATCATGTGAATCAAGAGGTAGAAGCTAGCTAAAAAAGTGTTCTGTACTAAGTAGCTACGTACTTGTCTTTTGTTTCCTTTCTCTAGCTGAGAAAAGTATTTCTTGTCAGGGATAAGTAATCTGTTTTCATTCTGGCTAGGTTTTTTTCAGGCAGTAGTATCAGTTTTTGTTTATTTGTTTGCACTTCTGTCAATATCCATGATGGTTTTGGGAAATGAGAGTGAGAACATTGTTTTGTACACATGCATCGTAGGCTTACATGTGTTTATTCTGCTCTTGATTCTGTTTACGTAAAATGCTGTTACTTTTCAATGCAAAGGTTCTGGTACTTTTCGATTTCACTCTTGTATAGATACTGGAGTTTATGGTTCTTGCTCAATGAACAGAACCTCTTTAAACTACTATTATGTTTTATTTTTTTGATGCAATAGTGAGCTTGGGAGTTGGGGTAAGCAGCATTGAGAAAACTAACGATGCTACTGAAATGACAGAGACATTGGTTTTCATGTTTTACTTTAGGAATGTAATACTAAAGGCTGCTGCCTATCCTACAGTGTATTTAGAGCGCTGCTTGAGTCAGATGAGTTCAGATACTGGTCATTCTTATATTAGACATTCACATGCTAATTTTCCTGTCTAACATGAGGGGAGTATCCAGCTCAGCAGAGAGTGCTACTGTTGTTCCGTAAGCATATTCAGTGCTACTCTACTGCTTTTATGTCTTTGTGAGTTTCCCCATTGAATCCACTTAAGGGAAAAAAGGAGGAAACTGTAGTTTCCCTTTCTTCAACTAGTTCCCCTTTTCTGAGCATTACTTTGAGCGGAATTGCAAGTTCCACCCCACCACTTTCATGGCTGTTTTTCAGGATGGATGTGTGTGATAAGCATTTTCAGCTAAGGGGAGTGATGCAACAGAACTCTCTATACTTTATTTTAGATTCAGGCTGTGACTCTGTGACTGATACAGAAACAGAAGACGAGAAGAATCCTGCTGACTCCCACAGACTTGCCATGAGTGAAGAACATGAATCATCCAAGAGCACTGGGGACCGTCCATTGGTGCAGCCCAACCGCATACAATGTGGGGTACTGTATGTCCACTCCTTGAGCTGTGTTCTTACTGTGAGCTGGTGCAACTCATCATGCTGCTTTGTAATGGTCAGCTTTACAGGCCTGGAAATTAGTCCTGAATTATTCTTGTGTCACCTTCCTGCTCAGCTGCCTATCCTCCATGTCTCTTCTTTCATGGACTTGGCTCTCTTGGCCCAGGAGTAGCTTGGTAATGTGCAGTGCTTAGAGCTGTCCAGGCTGTGGTGTCACTTAATGACTGTCTCATTAACATAGCTGCTTGGCTTGGGTGCTGTGAGGTTCACACTCTTCCCTTCCTCTGTTCTGGTGGAAAGTGCAGTAAGCTGACTCTAATGAACTTACTAACTCCACACCCAGCATCCAGTCTAATATGACAATTGTGGTGCATGCATTGCAAGTGACCCTGAAAAGCTTGGATCATGGCTTCTTGTCTGAAAACCAGCACTTTTTAGTATAGCATATCCTCAGATGGAAAAAGTCCAAGTTTCTTCTTTTTGTTTCTGTTTAGAATGCGGCTGTGCTGCTTAAGGGAAGAGATGGATTGAGTTGAAAGTAAATAATTTTACAAATCTAGCCCTAATCAGTTTATAAATCTATCTAATAAATCTGGAAGTCTATCAGTTTAATGCTACCAGTATAGATACCAGTATCTATACTGGTACAAGCTGTAGCAGAAGTCATCTGCCCTGTTAGTCTGTGACTGGAAGATGCTCCTTAAAACCAGTCAAAATTGTGAAAATGATAGATGGTAATTGATATGTTAGTTGCAATGAGAACAAAATCCCTAGAAAATGGACTTAAGTGTCTTTGTTTTGTGTGTTGTAATGCCTTTCGTCTTAGGTGCAGACAACAGTTTATATTATCATGAAATGTAAACTAGATGGTGAAATGAAAACTGAAGTTGAATTTTCTCCAGAGAATGCATCCTCTGTGCGTGTGCTGGCTGAGATGGAGAATGAATACACAATCTCTGTGAAGGCTCCAAGTAAGATGGACTGAGATTTTTTTTTTCCCTTCCCTCTCCTTACCCATTGCTTCATTTCTATCTCAACCTATCTGTCCTGAGAACTGCCAGGGGGATAAAGGGATTGCAATGCATAAAATCTTGAGTCCAGGAAATCTTGAACTTGCATTCTCACCCATGATACTTTTGATGAGGAACTGAGAGAGACTGCTGCTTGTGGGCTTTGTTTTCCCTCCAGCAACAGTAGTGTTGCAGGGACACCTTGGTGGGAGTTCTGAGAAGGGAGATTGCAGCTTGTGGAGCACTTTGAACTTAGTTGTGTGTTATGACCACCGTATTAGCATTGGCAGGGCACCAAGAGAGAAGGTAAGTGCCGGTAAATAATTACATGACTATAACGGCATGTGTTTAATGTGTAGTGATCTCTGTGATCATAGCTGAAACTATTTATTCTGGCTTGCTTTTTAATTTAGATATGTTCTGTCACTCTAAATATTTACATTTACAAAACTGAAGGTTGTCTAAATTTTAGGTTCACTGAACTTTAAAGGCATGATTTCAGACCCTTAAAGATTGATATTATTTTCCCAGCATTATTTTATTTATTCTACTTTGGTCTGACCTGTTGAAGAGTCATTCTGCCATTCTCTCTGAGAATAGAGACTAATAGTCATTATAGCAACTACCACAAAGTCAGTGAAGTGGGTTGATTTAAAGAAGGTGATCTCATGAACATATAAAGGCTTAATTTAATCTGTCTTAAGTCAAGAGTTATGATATAAACACTGACCTGGAAACTAACTTGTACTTTGAATTATAAACATGGCCTTCACATTGATGGAGTGTACAATGTAAGCTCTGAAGTTTCTAAGAGTAAGATGAATAATTTTAATTCCTTTATGTTATTAACTGTTTTATCATCTCCTGAGTTGTTAACAGGGAAAGACTATTTTTAGTGGGATTCAAATTACCTGTGTTTCAAAGAGAAAGTTCAGACTTATAAATGCATACTAGACAAAACATCAAGAAGCTCCAAGGTGCAGGTAGAAAATAACCCTGTGCATGGGTAAAGTTGCAAAGCTGAAATTCCTTTTAATTGATTTTATTCAGAGACTAGTTAGGCTAACAGAGGTTGCAAAATCTCTAGTAACTTTTCTGATTTCTCTCCTTCCCCAGCTCCTTTGTATTTGTGGTATGGCTTTATGGACAGCTCCAGGGAAGCCAGGGGTGGAGAGGTGTGAGGCTTTCTAGTTCAAGGCAGAGTACTTTCAGCATTAGTGATCCAGTCTACTGCTAGCAGAGGACCTGGCAGGTTATGTGCATTGACATAGCTATAAAGAAGGTAGTTCCAAAGTACTTTCCTACCTGGTGTTTCAAGATCGTGACTCTTTTTCCTATTAATGAAAATTCCTGAATTTTCATTAATTCAAGACATCATAATTGATTATATAGTAAAAACTGTTTTGATACCCATCTGGCAGTCTATCCAAACTCCTCCTGTCCTCTCAGAATATCATGCAATCTCATGCCCATTGTTCATGCTAATGGTGATTTTTGCTCTTTCTTTTCAAAGATTTAACCTCTGGGACAGTGCCCCTGAAGATATATTCAGGGGACTTGATGGTGGGAGAAACAAGTGTCACTTACCATACTGACATGGAGGAAATCAGCAATCTGTTAGCTAATGCAGCCAACCCTGTACAGTTCATGTGCCAGGTAAGGACTTCAGCAAACAGCTGCTTTGGAAACCAGCTCTTTCAGAGGCTAGACAAGTAGGCATAAGCAAAAGTGCTTACCATGAAGTAGCTCTTCTGAAATGAAGAAATGCAAGGTTATTTAGGGATTTTCACCTAACTCTAATATCCCCTTTTATTGAAAGCATGGATGTTTTTTCTATCTCTGGAGCACATAGCTGCCTAAGGTGATTCAGGTTATCAAACTAAGAAAAAAAATGTGGTCAATCAACACCCACATTTAGACCTTGATGACTTCAAAAGATTGGAATGACAGAAGTTGATATAACAGAAAGTACCACAAAGAAATAAATTGTTTTGGAATTTGCACCTAGGGGTTATTAAAAAAAAAAAAAAAAGTAAATAGTAGAAATGATTCCTATTAGCTGGAGGAAGCAGAGTAGCATAAAACAATATGTTGATTCTTAACACTTAGTTTTTCAATACAACCACTCAGTTTTCCTATTCTGTTTTCTTCAGTTGGGGTAGCTGAACCCTATTAGAGAGGTAAAGCTTGCACAAGGAAGTTTTCTGCTATGTTGCCCTGTTGCCTGTGTGTTCCTGATCCCATGATCTGCCATGTAATGGAAGCTTACAGAGTAGGCATACAGAGTAGTCTTGTTAGTTACCAATATACCTGGGGCAGGGGAGCTGTGTTTCCCTTGCTTTTCAGTTCAAGTTGTGGAGCAGTTGGTACTGGCTGATGCCTCTGCTTGGGGAATATGTCTGCTTCCCAGTGGTAAAGAACCCATTCAAAAGCCAAACCCAGAGCATGTACCAGAACAATTCAAAATGGACTAGTGTATAATTATAGCAGGAGTGACATTTCATTGGAACAGCTTCAAGAGTAAGTGTATGTACCTGCCAAGAAAGTAGGAACCAAGTTTTCTGTGCTCCCTGTTGTATGAATTTCTCATTGCACTCTGTCTTGTGGAGTATACAGTTCTCATCTATTGAGCTTGATGATAACTGTTTCTGCATCAGGAAGCTATCCAAGTTCTTTGTTTGATGTGAACATTTTTACCTTCTGCGTGCCTACTGTTTTCTGATTGTGTTAAATAATAAAAACACCGTATAAATCTCACCTTAACTGAATCTCCAGACTCAACCAAACAAAAGTGCTTTCCATTTATCTGTAGGCCTTTAAAATTGTGCCATATAGCATAGAAGCCCTGGACAAACTGTTGACTGAGTCACTCAAGAAGAACATTCCTGCCAGTGGTCTACACCTGTTTGGAATCAACCAGCTGGAAGAAGAAGATATGACAGCAAGTAAGTTTAGAGTCTTGGTTTATTTTCATATTTTCTTTGTATCAGTTGTTTTACCTTGACACACCTTAACGCTGCAGTGTGTGGTACTTGCTGTCTCAAAAACCTTGGATCTCAGCCAGAAAGCTTAATTTCTGATGGTACCTATAGAAAGGAGATTGCCATTTGAGTCAGGTGACCCTTTTTTTATTACATGTATCATTCTCATGTCCCTGCACTGTGGCAGATGCTGCTAGGTAGACAGCTTCAAACCAGAGTGAAAAGATGTTTCTCAAATGTCTCCCAGGTTTTCTGCTTTGTTCTTCTCTGTCTCATGTGCCATTTCTCCACAGCCCAGTCCTTTTCCCCAAACCCCATAACTCTGAGATATGCAGTGGGCACTGAGAAGTTGGGTTGGTATGCTGTCTTTTTGTAATTATGGTGTAAGAAGCCCTTACAAGTCTGTGATCCTACATACCTCTAAGCTATTACAGCAGCATATTCCCCACTAAAAGGTTATAGGACTTAAGCCTGGAGATGCACAAGCTAATTTGTGCAGTTAGCTTGATTTTGAAACCATATATATATATTTTTTTTCAGCGATTTCACAGCTGCTTTGGTTTCTGTGTTTGCTGTGTCTGTTTCTCACCTACTGGATCTGTTGCTACCAGAGAAAATCTTACGTGCTAATGGGCTCCTGTTCTCACAGATCAGAGGGATGAAGAGTTGCCAACACTGCTTCACTTCTCTGCAAGATATGGGCTGAAGAACCTTACTGCCTTGCTGCTTACATGCCCTGGAGCACTGCAGGCCTACAGCGTAGCCAACAAGTATGGCCACTATCCAAACACCATAGCAGAAAAGCATGGCTTTAAGGATCTCCGCCAATTCATTGATGAATATGTGGTAAGAGGAAGCTGAGCAGCCTTCTGCCTTGTCCCACACCTGGTGTAGCTCTGTCACCAGCTTGGCACTTAGTGTTGCTTCAGCAAGAGTGTTGGGGTAGTAAAGTGTGTTGTGGTAGGGTGTAGAGCACAGGCATCCAGCCACACTGAAAGCTTTCAGGCTGGAGGGTTAATTGTGTCTCTGGAGCCAGGGAAGTTCCTGGGGCTATTGCACAGAGCAAGTAAGATGGAAGCAGAGACTGTCATGCTGGCTTCCATTCCTCCACGCATCTGATGAAGTTTCTGCAGGGGTGTGGCTGGTGCCAAGTGTACTCTTCTAGTTCTGATCTTGGGAAAAGAGCCTCTTCATCCAGCTTATTTTAGGGAGTAATATGAGAACAGAAAATGTTTGGGAAGATACAATTTGAGGTGCTTTCTTATTAGTTGTAGTATGGTCAGGATTGCTTACAAGCTCATTCACAGCTGATCTGTGTAGTCTGCCTGTTTCAGGTGATAGCCATTTCTCCTTGCATTGGTATAGTTGTCCATTCCCTATTTGTTCTTTCAGGGATCCAAGCTGACAATTAATTTCTCTTTGAGCTAACCCCACCCCCAGAAAACAGAACTCTGACTTTTCCAGATTATGACCCGGACCTGACACCAGCTGCACTAAGCAATAGTTTCTGTGCAGTACTTGGGTAGGCATAGAGTTTCTCCTTTTGTTTCAGTTTGAGCTGTTTCTGGCCTGTATGCTTCAAAATAAAAAGGAAGTCCTTGACTCAGGTCACATGAATTCTACTTGCCTTTGCTTTAGGTTGAAAAGTTGTGTTTAATTTTCCTTAACATTGTCTAAATGCTGGGTGATAGATCTTTCTGCTTTAGAGTGGTTCTGCCTGCCAGTTACTGTAGTATTTAAGCTGTATTTTAGGAGGCATGGATAGTTCCTGGACTTGGGCCTTGCTTCTTGAATTTATACATTAGAGATAAATAAAAGTAATTCCATATACTGAGATCAGGAGGGCTGCAGAAACTGTAAATTGTGTGATCAAAATCTTTGCATCGGGGTAAGTGAGAGATGTGCATAAAGTCCTTCCAACCTCTCATTGCAGTACTGTGCTCCTCCTATATTCTCTCCACCAGCACAGTGACAGAGCTGTGTTAAGAGCAGGTCCTCCTTAGCGACCATCAAGCTTCAGTGCAGCACAGAACAAAGCACACTAATCATCTGCAACAGTGTGACCACTGCAAGGCAGTGACCACTATCACCAGTAGTATGGGTGTCTGAAAATCACAGTAAACCCATTTACTCACCTAATTTTCTCTCTGGCAAAGGTTCCTCTGCACCTCTGTAAGAATAGTTTGTTGCATGAACTGCTGGCCTGACCCATTTTGACTGCAGAAGGGAGCATTTGTAGACAGCTTTGACACACAATCCACCCTGTGGATTGAGGGCCCATGAGTCGACATTTGTGGATGGAAGAATATCTTGTTGTATTGCGGCTGTTAAGATGGCTGTGCTTGTGACATAATTGGAATTTGGGAAGGAGGATGGAATGAAGCTTTACATTTTGCTTCCTTATGTGTGATTTGGTGAAGCTCTGCCTTCCCACCATGGTCTATGTTGTAAATGCATAAGAAAGCATTCTGCTCTCCTGGAAATCAGGAGTTGCCTGTATTACATGAACTGCTGCCTGCTATGAGGTTTCCTGTTAATATCACAGAAAGGGGTCTATGTGCTCCCACTCTGGGTGTCACATGCTGCTGCTAATGCCAAGAAACTGAAACTAAATCTACATCAAAGCTAAAACTTTGCTATTTTGCAGGTGCTCTGTATGTGATAAGATTTCCGCCTTATGGTTAGCTATGCGTGCCCCAAAATAGCCTTTGACAAGCATTTGTATTTTTAGAATGAGCTGTGCTTATGTTCTGGGAGTTTGCAGACATTGGGTAGGACATGAATGTGATGGAGTGAGAGGCTGTAATGGCTACTCAGAATGTGTCAGCAGCCCTTGTTTCAGCTCTGTTACTTATTAATACAACATAGATCTCAAAAGTTTGTCCCAGATAGCTGTAGTGGGGATTTAAGTCACTTGAGAAACCTTAATCTTTGGGAATGAGCTGTCTTCAGAGTTTTTTTCCATCATTGATGAAAAAACGAGGTATCTTTTGCTTGCTTTTATTCTCTAGACTATTTATTTAAAAGAGACTTGATTTTTTTTTTTTTCTTGCCCTCTTTCTTCTCCAGGAAACTGCAGATATGCTAAAGAGTCACATTAAGGAAGAGCTGATGCAAGGCGAGGAAGATGAGTCTGTTTATGAGTCCATGGCTCATCTGTCCACTGATCTGTTAATGAAATGTTCCTTGAATCCAGGCTCCGATGAAGAGCTTTATGAATCCATGGCTGGATTTGCCCCCGGTGCCCCAGAAGATCTTTGTATGTATATTCATAGAATTACAGAATCATGGGAAGGTTTGGGTTAGAAGGTACCTCTAAAGATCACCTAGTCCAAGCCCTCTGCAATGGGCAGAGGCATCTTTAGATCAGATTGCTCAGAGACCTGTCTCTCTTACACATAGTAGTGCCTCACTTACAGCTTTTCTGCTCTCACCACAAGGAAACTATACTGCAGTTCTAACATTGGCTGACTGATAAAATTGCTCTATACCTTTTTTTAATTACTAGTGTAAAAGATCAAGAGCTATTTCTTCAGTGTTTCAAGGACTCCTTGAACCCTGAGCAAATAAATTAACATATGGAAATGAGACCAAATTTTCTACCATGTCCTGCTTTTTCCTCCTGAGGACTGGGTACCTAGGAACATTATGACACTGACAGCTAAAAAACTAAATAAACACTATGTAAGATGTGATTTTACTGACAACTGGGAAACTGAAAAACAAGAGCTGAGGTTCTAGCTCAACAACTTGAGAGCAAAAGAAAGTGAACATCTAGAAATATGTGTACCCAAAAGATTATAAATGAAAAAATCATTATTCTAATCTTCTTGGCTTATTGCTAAAAATAAAGAGCTAATTCTGATAAATATGCATATGTTTAACCTTTTCATTATTGCATTGATATTCAGTGAGGCCAATTGAAAATATCAGATTAAGTACCTATGTTAAGCAATTGTAAATTTGCTGTTCTTATTCACCTGTTTGGTCTGACTCCATCCCACTGATCTGTTTTATGATTCCCATAATGAGCATCAAATTTAGCTTCTTTTATTTTAAGTACCTCCTTAAGGTACTTAAGGACTTCTAGTGTTTCTGCAGTTTCTAAGTTTACTGCTTCAGGGAAAAGGCTTTCTTTTTGAAACACTTGTGTTTATGGGCTATATTTGTCTTGGGCTGTTTTTCTCCTCTTTTCAATTAAATGATACTATAAAACACATTTTTGTTGATTATGGAGTCCAGATAACTGTGTTGGTTCTTTCCTTGAAATCATAAACTCTTTCCTGCTAAGTGTTGTTGGCCACTGCAGGGATGGTTTTGCTATCAAGACCAGGATTATTCTGCCTTCAGGTGGAGATAAGCAGTAAATCAGGCTGGACTTGTATGGAACAAAGCTGCTTTTGTTTGCAGTAATGAAAGTTAGAGTTTCTAGATGCTTGGTAGGTCTGCCTGTCATCAGTGCACTTCTGAATGGGGTTGATTCACTAAGCCTGTGGAGGGTTAAGAAACAAGCTCAACACTACTAAACCAAACTTCCCTTCTTCCAGGCCTGAAATGCCCAGATCTCCCAGAAACTATGCACAGAATTTTCCTGGAAATTGAGCTCCCTTTAATTTAGCACTTTTGAACTGGACTCTGAAAAGCCTCTCTTTCCTGCTTCTTACGGACTTCTTGTGTGTTGCCTTTACACACAAAGCTCTGCTGCCTTCTATTCAGGAGTCTTTTATTCAAATTCTCTGTTTTCCTTACCTGGTCTGTTAGCCTTTGCCTGAAGAATATTAAAAAGTTTGTCTGAACAGTGCTTAAAATCTACCTATATTGTAACAGATAAGTTTAAATTGGCACAGTTCTCAGCACTTAGATTGATTCTCTCAAACTGAAAGTGTTTCAATATTATTTAGAAAACCAGCATACAGGCAAACCCTCCTGTGAATCAGAATGAAATTAATGGGAGTGCTGGCTGGTTTAGAGCTGCCATCACAAATAAAGGATTTAAGCTTTTGTACTTGAAGGTTTGTGAGGATGGTTCACTAGAAAATCATAATTAATTTCTCTTGAAGTGCTTTTTCTAGGAATTACCCTAATGTGAGTAGATATGGCTGTGGTGTAGAGGATAATACCAGGGCTATTTTAGGTGTAGTCATACTGTGGCAGTGTGCCCCTTTATTGTGATCAAGATGTGCTTCCACCACAGTTTTTCCAAAGCTGATCAAAGGAAGGTTAGATACCACAAGAACAATTTTTCTGGCAGGAATTTGTTTGAGAATAAGGTAACAGAGGACTCGAGCCACTGTAATGAGTTAAAACTATTTCATATTCTTACATGTAACCCAAACTATCTAGTTTACATAGGAGTAGATCTATGACATAGAAATAGATATGCCTCAAAAATTCACTTATATCAATAAGCCTCAGCAGCCCATTTATATCTCTTGTTTTTAAGATCATAGGAACATGCTTACCTAACATTTTCTTTTCATTTTAAGATTAGTTTTAGCATACAATGAGGTTGATCTTTTTCTTTAAAATCAGAATTCTTTATGTCAAAATGCTGAATTCACAAAGCACCTTACTGTTTGCTGTCAGTCTTTCCTCAATACTGAATTGTCATCTGACCCTCCAAACACTTTCCAGATCTAAGTAATTAACTCAGCCAACTATTTTGACTTTATTCCAATAAATAAAACAAACTATCTTACGTGTCATGGGAAAATTACCTTTAATGTCTTGTTTTTCCAAGTCACACGGTTTTCTCTCAGGAGCACTCTACAGAGACCAAAACTTTCACCTGGCCAATGCACACTCAAAAATAGCCAAAACTCAGTGCCTGCTTGAAACCTAGTCAGAACTTCTCAGTAGCATTTTTGATCATCCTCAAGTGCAAGCATCAGGCAGCTGGAAAAAAATTGAGCAGTATAGACTGAACATAGCAACTTAGAAGCCTTTTTTGAGGAAAACATCTGGTCATTTGCCCAGCTTCTTTGATTGTCGCCATAAAGTAAAGGTCCAGTTTATTATATCACATTGCATCATTCCATGTATTGAATGATATAATTAACAGGTGCATCTTTCTGGGGATTTCTTTCAGATGTAGAGATGCTTCAATCCAAACCAGACACTGCAGTTTCTGGAGATGAAGTTTCTATAACTACGAAAGACTCGATGCTCCGCAAGTTTTTAGAAGGTGAGACCTATTTTGAGGGAAGGATGGCAGTAGCACAGTTAAAGCAATTAAATTGAACCTGAGATTTCTTCATGAACTCTTAGGGGATAGAAGGTAGTCCACTATTTGCTTTTTTTCAGAGAAAGGACTAGTTCTCTGTAGTACTGTGTAGACCATCACACATAGCTTTTGGAAACCATTGTTCTGTTTGATTTGTTCACTATTAAAGTATGTTAATTAACTGAAATTAATTAAATAACTGTTTCTCAAATTCTTAAAGAGGGTTAGGAGATTTTTCACTATTTCTTCAAAACAGATGTTACAGGCATAGTGGCAAACTGTTACATGCTACTAGATGTTAATGACTTTATCAAGTCCTGTCATGAAGGTCTTTGTTACATTTAAGGTACTGCAAAAGTGGATGGTTTTGGCTGTGAAATAGCCAACTTGGTAAGAATGTGGTACATAATGCATCACATTCAGGGATGATTCACACGAGGGAATCAGTGTTCAGTGAAGTGGCCAGGCTGCTTTCTGACAAACTCTGCTCTGTTGTAGGTGGTAGCATGGATGTGCCAGATTCTGAGGAAGGAGGTCACGAGCAGTATGGTGAAGATGTGTACTACTCCGTGGAACAAGACCCTTTTCCACAGGAAATGGCTAACAGGCCTCCAGTTCCTGTTCCAAGACCAGAATCTAGCTCTCCACAGCCAGACAATGAGCTGTACATCTCCAAAAGTGAGTTGGTTGCCAGTGGAAATGGAGACCAGTTAACTGTAGAATGGCAGTGACATGGGCTCCAGTTGCCAAATAAATGCCAGGATCCCTGGATTATTTGACTCTGGAATTAGGTTGCCTTTGGGATCCAATTCCATATCTGTTTATTCATCTTTTACCTACCCTGAAAATGTGGGGATGTTATATCCCAAGATCTTGGCCTAAGCTTGCTCTTCATGAAAGCAGTAGCATGACAGATTACCCCCAAATGGTATAAACAAATCCAACTAAATAAGAAAGATCCTGATATTATAAGGACATGATCAGGCCAATAAATTGAGACATTGCTGATCTGTAATGGTATCATTGATTCAACTGCATTTGTACAGGACATGATTTTATACCTCAATGCCTCCCTCTGAGGTGGGGTTTTATTGAAATTGAAGAAGATTGTTCTTCTTAGTTCATTAGGTAGCTTTGGAAATCTTGATCATATATTGTGGACATTCTAACAAGAACCACAATGACATTTGAGTGAGTAATTTCAGTGACTTCTTCCCACTGTGACAGGACTATGGAGGATTTTCTCTTAGATTTCTCTTAGAGGTGGTTGAGGTCAATAGAAAGGGAATTCTACTGTACAAATCTTTATTTTTTTTCAATGGGCTTAGAAGGGCAATAGAAGCTGTGATGAGGTGCAGAATTGTGTATGCTTGCCATATTCACCCTTTCTATTTCTGTCTTCATGAGATGCATTTCAGTATCTAAAGAATGTTTCTTTTGCAGTTTTTGCACAGAAGGCTCAAAGACCTGAGAATCTTTATGTCCCTAGAGGAAGGGTTAAGAAAGGTAAGGCAGAAGTTCACCCTGAAAGTCCTGTCAGTAATCCAGAAGCAGATCTGTTACGGTAGCTCCATTTGTGTGAAATATGACAGAACAGAATGTTTTGCAAAGCTCTGGGGGTAACAGTCCTCTATGAATGACCCAGTCTTTTTGACCTTTTGTGACACTGGGAACTTTTATAAGTGCAGAGTATGAGGGGAGCACATCTCATGTCTTGGGAACTCTTCTTTCTATTACAGCTGAGTTAGAAAATGGCAACATCAGTAAAATTAGTATTCGGTTTCTGGGCTTAAACTACATAGATTATCTAGATAGAGTCTAGCTTTGTGACTGTTAAGGTACAAGCTCTCTCCTGTGAATTGCTGAGGAAGCAACACACTTTAAGGAATATGTTTTATGCTCTTTACTTAAATTACATTTTTAAGAGCAGAGCTTATCCCTGGGATATATTTGTATAAAGGCTACCTCTCAGCTGGGCTTTTAGACCTGACAAATAGTAGAATGACCTAAGAAGAAAACACTTCTTAGGTAGTCTGCACGACTTTTTTCTTTTTTTTTTAATGTCTGCTGGGTCAAGAGTGCTTGATCTCTTTGTATTCAGTGAAGAAGGTAGATGCTACAAGATTAATAATATTTTTGCTGGTGTTCTCTCTTCAGAGACAATAGTGAGGCCTGTAAGGGACCTGTCTCAATCAAGTATTTATGATCCATTTGCTGGAATGAAAACCCCAGGTCAGCGGCAGCTGATTACATTACAGGAGCAAGTGAAAATGGGCATGCTCACTGTGGATGAAGCTGTACTTCATTTTAAGGAGTGGCAACTGAACCAGAAAAAGAGATCAGAATCATTCCGGTTCCAGCAGGTACAGACTTACACTACTGTTTAAGAAATACAGCTGTCTCTCTAGGTAGATGTCACAAGCTTCTCAGTGTGGGTACATTTTTTTCCTGGTTGGAGCAGGAAGACAGCTAACATAGTTCCCCAGCCAGCAGAGCTCTTTCCTGACATGGGGTAGCTGTTGTCAGTAAGCAGCAATTGGTTTTACAGATCTGTTTGTCTTGCAGTAATATTGTCAGTCTTTGAAGATCTGTATACAAGGAATTGGGTCAAATCCAGTTGGCTAAATCACCTTTCTGGAGGTCACCTAGCACCTACCTGGTGGCAGGAGACTTCTGTGATGAACATGTAATTTGTTGGTTCTCATCCATTTCAGATCAGTGATGATTCTCTGTTCCAGATGGTGTATTGGCTGTCAAGTCCTCGTTAGTAGATGATCTGATTTCTCCAATTGTTTGTTGATAGCTGCAGGACTGTTCTTTGCAGCTGCACAAGGTCTAGCAACGGCTCTTAGTAAAAGCAGAATGTTTGGGTGGCTTAAGAGAAAGAGGGAGTAATTTCGTTGGCAGCAGTGACATAATGACTAGTGGAACTATTAGTTACAGTTGAAAATTTTCATTTTCAAGTTAGAGTGAGGCTCCCTCTTTAAAACCACTGGCTGCTTCTTTTGGAGCCTTTTGTTCATGCTGTGGCAGTCTGGTCTCCAGTGGATGAGGTTTTGGAAGTTGTCAGAACAAAGGCAAGGCTTTTCTCCTCTTGGTTCTCACTCGGAAAGGTCCTCTCTACCCAGAAATAGTCAGAGGAGTCCCTTCTTCCACCACAGAAGAGCACAGTGCTACTTAAGTAAATTGCTGTAGAAGAGACAAAGTGGCATGCTCTGTGCCCCATGTCATGAGCAGCTTTCAAAGTCTCTGCTCTGAATTTTGCTTCATGGTACAGCAGTTGCTTCATCTGCTTTTCTACCTGTCCAGGGGTTTCCTAGTCTCAGATCTGTACATATTTCCCTGCTGAAAAAGTTGTCTTTTTTTCTCCCTACCTTTTTGTACTGTAAGGTGTAATATGCTGCCACACAATGGTGAAGAGTCTTTGCTCCCAGTTACATTTCTTCACTGGGGATATCCTGAATTCTGTGTTGTACTCACATTCTGGGATGCATGGCGACCTTTCCTGTCCTTGTAGCCAGAATTCATTAGTACAGAAAGGATTGTGCAGTTACTTGATTGTGGGTCTTGTTTATGTGCCAGTGTCACAGTGCAAACAGAAAATACAGGGAGTTCTAAACCCAGTCTGCTGCTTATCTGCAACTGCCCATGAGTATGTGAACTTGACCTTAACATACATAATGAACATCAGAAAAAAGCTGGCTTCTGAAAGACACACATGGGTTTCTGAAAGGAATAGATTAAAACCTGTTGACATGGTTTGGACATCAGCCAGGTCTAGCAAGCTTTGTTACAGCTTGCCTGCAAAGTTAGCTAAAATATAATACTGGTTTTTGTCAGAAAGCTTCTCATCTTCCTTCATCCAAAGCCCTGAATAGAATATCTTGTGATGTTTCTAGGAAAATCTGAAACGTCTACGAGACAGCATAACCAGGAGGCAAATGGAGAAGCAAAAAAAAGACAAAAGTGCAGGTAAAAGTCTTTGATTCTGATATTCTCTGGTAATGAAGCAGCTGACCATATTAACATGCTCTTCAGGCAGTAGTGTGTCAGTGTGTATTGTGGTTCTGTGATATTTTAATATACACATCCATGTGCCAGTTGGCAAAAACTTAGGGAAGCTGCTTTGCTCCTTCCTTTCACAGCCAAGAAAAGGATGCTCACATCTGTGGAGTGTATCTTGATTCATTCATGTAAAGTTATGATTATCCTTATGCAATTGTGTTTAACTCTGTCCTTAAGTGCAGAACTGTCTCTTGGAGGCTGTAATTGCATAGACCTTTCTGAGCTGTTAATTTTCCCTTCCAGATTTGGAAATTACAGTACCCATTCGACATTCTCTTAATACTTTGGGGAAGCCAGAATGTGGAATATATGAATATACCCCCAGGAAAAATGTTTTTCCACAAAAAAAGGAGTTAAAACGAGGAGACTGGAAAACAGAAAGCACATCCAGCACAACAAGTAAGCAAGTTCTGAGTGTCAGCATCCCTGCAGGAAAGCTGGATGGAACACACTTCCCATGCCTGACCCTGGAGTTAACCCAGGGGACAGGATTTCTGTTCTTGAATCCCAGCACTGACAATGCCACCTCAAATCTTGCATGTCTCAGGCCAGCTGTTCTCAAAAATGTAAACGCAAGTCCAGGTGTGCATCAAGTGGTTTGGGCATCTTTTGTCTGTATCTCTGCAGGAGGAGAACCTGAAAGCTGAGCTTAAGATGCTCTTGAGCCTTCCCAGGGAAAGCACACCACCTGTCTTCAGTTACTCGATGGCAGCTGCTCTCTTCTTGGAAAGGATGCTCCCATGCTGTGACTGCCAGCAGGGTGTGTGCTCTTCTGGCCTGAAGGGCAGTTATATTTCAGGCTGGAAACCAGTCTCTACATGCTGTTTCTTCAATTGTTTTACATAAAGGACAGCATTTTTCATTGGTAACTGTGGGACCTCTTGAGTGACTTGGGCAGTCTGCACATGCTTTTCATTACGTTTAATTGTGCAAATTAAATCCCGGCATTCTTGCTTTTACTGCAGACTGAGCATGCTATTTTTGCAGAAATCATTTAGGATCAATTTGGTCCTTTGAAAGGAAACCTGACTTCCTGTGAGGTTACTACCTTAGTGACTCTTGGCGTGATGCCACTGGCATACATCCAGAATAGGTGCCAGAGGCAGCTGGCAGAGCTGGCTGGCTGGCTGAGCCAATAACTTGCATACAGGTACATGTGAGAGAAGTGTTAACAAGTCTGCAGAGCTCGCTGCATGCAGCTTGGTGCTCTATCTCATGGTGTGATTGTGAGAATGGACCCTACCACAGTATTTAGCACTCTTAAGTGCTGCTGTTTGCACCAGCTGATGAAACTTAGCAGGGGGGGACTTCATCTTAGAAGAAAACCTCTCTAGCCACCATTTCAGTGTAGAGGTTTCTGAATGTTAGTGTCACAGTATTTCATAGCCCTATAGAATGTTATCTATTTATGATTGAAACCAGCCATAGCAGTGTAGGATATGAGTGTGAGTTGCTGTCACTTTTGGAATTAGCATGACTAATTGCAAAAACAATCTCAACTCTGAATCCATGACAGTTAAATGGGTTTACATAGATGTGTGCTGAAGATTGTTTGAACAAACTTGTTTTCAGCTTGGGAAAAGACTAGGAAATATTCCTGTGATGAGTGAGGATTGTTGTAAGAGGAGGTAGTAAACAATAATTTATTTGTAACAACAACTTCTTAAGCAGTCACTCCAGGAATGAATATGTGACAGTGCTCAAAGCCATCTATCTTCATGCAGTTGTTAAAGATATGGGGACTGATAATTTAATTTAAATGTACGTAAGTGTTGAGTGTGTAACCCTTGTGAAAATACTTGCCTGACTTGCGAGATGATATTGGTGTTGGATCTTTTCAGTTAGATTATGGTTTGTGAGTATTTAACCAGAAGACTGGATAAAGAAAGATAAGGCAGAAATCTTCTAGAAAGAAAGCATAATTGAATGGCTTGGTCCTGTGGTTTGTGTTGTATGAAATGTTGTTATTTGGATCCTGAACACAGGAAAAAAAGCCAGTGAAAATAAACAAATCTAAACAAGCATTATGTGTGCAAGAATTAACCATGAGGTTAGAAAGAGCCCTGAGTTAGGGATTTGCTGTTAAATCCATCAGGGTTTATTAATCATTTTTTGTCTTGCTTGCTCCAGGTAGTGCAAGTAACCGCTCCAGCACTCGGAGTATATTGAGTGTCAGCAGTGGGATGGAAGGGGACAGTGAGGTAAGCTCTGTGTACTGCTGTGTACTGTTCTGCTGTCCCTAACTACATGCCTTTGTTTTCATGCAAAAAAAGAGCTCAGAGCTGGCATTGCATTTAGAGAAATGCCAAAACATAGCCACTTCTTTTGTGAAGACACCAGGAACCAGATTATGCTGTTCTGTAAAGGCTTCTCTTCCTTTTGTAGGACAGTGAAGTCCCAGAAACAGCAAGGAGCCGCAGCCCAGTTTCTCACCAAGCAGAGAGGCTTCCTTTCCCAGAAAGGCCTCCCAGAGTGCCTCCTCGAGGTGCAAGCAGGTAAATCTAAAATGCAGCTCAAAATGTGTGCTTTCATTGAATCCATATGGAAGCCTTGGACAGAAAGCAAGGCAGTTAGCAAGGCAGAAAGTGAGTGTGTTTTTGAAAAAAGTCTACCAGACTGTCAACACGCAGATTTAGGAATTGTAAGGTCATTGTTTCTTGTCTGCATGTGGAGGAATCTGTTTCTGAGTTGGTAACAAGGCTGTTGCAGTGTTGTCACTGAGGTTCATGCACAGCAAGGGGCAGCACCAGTGAAGCACACAACGCTTGTCACAGTAAGACTGACCCAAGTGGAGTCGCATCCTGCCCTTGGCAGATATTTACAACCTGACCCTCCCAAAAATATCCTCTTGTAACATACAAAGTGTAGTGCAGGAGGAAGTTCCTTTTGGCATTCTCTTGGACTTTTTTCTTTTTACAAAGTTCAGATCTCTCCAAAGCATATATGTGTACTTGTATTACTGGCCTCAAAGAAAGAACTGCACTGGTTTTATAAAAGGTGTTGAAGACTTTTGCCTTGCTTTGATCATAAACTTAAATAACTTGTAAACATTCCTTTTAGTTCAACCAGTGCAATTAAATCTATTCCCCAAAAAGTTCTTTCAGTACAGATACTGATAAAATTCTCCCACTCTTAAAGCAGTAATTGCCACTGTGTGGGTGCAACAACAAGGTCTGTGTTGTTGCCTTGGCTTTGGTAAGGATATAGCTGGAATTTATATGCAGTTAGTTTGAAAAAAGGTTTTGAATCTTGTGATCTCTTTCTATTGCATCTTAATTTCAGGAGAAAGCTCCGTACTAACAAAGTTTTATTCCAACCAACTATTACAGAATCTCTTTCCAGTAATAGTAGAGTCACTGCAGCAGAAGAGCAGAAGAAATAGCTTGGACAGGAACAGTGCTCTGGCAGTTTGGCATCTGCTCTGTTGCTGAATCAACATGTTTTTCTTCTTATATTACTATTGATGAAACAGTATGCTTATATATAATGTTATTGCATGCAATGTGTTGTTCCAGAACTCTATTTTCTACTACTTTTTACATGCATTTTCATTCTCTGTCTTTTTATAGGCCTGTAAGCTGTGAAAGCTTTTATCCTCCACCTGTGCCACCAAGAGGTCGCTGAATCTCAACGTCTGTGGAATATGAGATATTTTTTTCTGTTTATATATGTCTTTGTACAGATATTTTTTTGGCTGTCTTAAATTATTTATAGGTGGGACCCAAATGATTTCATCCCCTTTATCCTCCCTGAAGCTCTGGTGACTTTTCCCATGATTTTGACAGGGACTTTTTTGCATTCGGTAACTTTTTTTTAGTTGGAAGAATTTTGGTGCTTTGGGGTTTCAAGAAAAGGTGTCATCATTGGGAAGAACTTTGATGTGTGTCTTGGGAGCCCTGCACCAACATGAAGATGCCATTTGATCAAGAAAGCACATGTGTCCTTTTAGGAACTAAGTCCTGATAAGCATTGTTACCAAACCTCTCAATACAGTCTACCAGGGCTTGACTGGAAAACATACTTTAAAAGTAAAGAAAATAAGATGTTTGAAAAATGATCATTACAGCAGGGACAGGTGAAAGTATTACTGCTTGGAATAACATTTTGGATACAATTATACTGACCTTTCAGAAGGTGTAGCATCCCCCTTTAGCTATTGCTATTAAACCATGGGGTGGATGAGAAATTGTCTTCAAGAATGTATCTTGCATACAGCCTTGAAAATGCCTTTCCTTTTCCTGTTCCCTCCCTGATGAGGACAGAAAAGGCGTTGTGTGTGCTGTATTCACCATGAAAATTCCCAAGATAGCTGGTAAGGGACCTTCTGTATCACAAACCAACTGTACTTAAACCTTTTTCAGGCAGGGTGCAGGTATGGTGTTACAAAATCACATGTCTGAGCTCTCAAATTAGAGAAGGAATTGGTGGTACTGCTGTGTTCTGTCTCTTTTACATGTGGTCATTATAGCAGCAATATGAAGGCATTTCACTTCATACTCTGGAACAATAGTGAGTCTGCAATTATCAGTGCACACGTCTCACAAACACCAGCTGTATTTTAGCTGGCTGCAGTGAAAACAGCTTGGGGGCTGTACTCTGCTCTACTATTCATTTCTACCAATGTGAACCTGCAGAAGTTATGTCCAGCCTTTTTCTGCCTGAGGGTTTACAAACTTAAGGAGGCTTCCTGGTTTGACTGTCTTCCAGGCCTTAAAATCTTCTGTGCATATCCCAACCCTTGGGAGACAAATTTAAGGCTCTGGTTGTCCATGAGTGACACAGATTGGAATTCTGCGAGATAACATTCAGGGCAGAGAATTAAACTTCATTACATACTTGGTTTTCAGGGATGAAATGGCTTGAAAAACAGCATCTGTATTAGGTGATCCCTCTGGTATAGGTAGGACATGTAGAGCTTCTGTCTGATCATGTCAGCTCCCCTTCATCTGTAGGAGAGCAGGTTTGCTTTTTCTCATTGTAGCCAAGGGAAGGGTGAAGTGAGAGCTGCTTTCCTTTGCTCTTCTTGGAATGAAACATGGTTTCCAGCACTATTAGCTCAAATTGGAAGGAGGGAAGGAGGTTTTGGTGCTGAAATGAGGAAAATAGTGGCAAGGATAAGTGAAGAAATTAGGGATAAAAGAGATAAACCAAAAGAAAAAAATCAGGAGCTTGATTGTTTTCAGTTGCCATATTTTGGTTTGCACACAGCTCCCTAGTTTTGCTCAAAAGTTCCCTATCTTCTTGGTACTGACTGCAGCTGTGCCCTTGGAGCTGTGATGTGGTAAGAGGAATTTGTCTACTTTCACATCTGCCAGGTACAACAAAGTAGAATTGTAGGATGTGGGTAAAACTGTAATAAAGCAGGAAATGAAGAGCAAAGTATATGTGTATCATGCAAATTTTCTTTCAGCACTCTTGGACTGAAGCAGCCCAGGGATCCATCTTTCCAAGCTAGTTTTAATTCTGCATCCTCTCCATGTTATAGCCAAGTCTCTTCTGTGGGAGGGATTTACCTGAGTATTTGCCTTTAAAGAATCCTAATACCATGGTTGTGAGCTGGATATTTATTGTTTGTGCTGTGGAGAGATGGTTATATCTGTATCCCAGAAAAGCAGCTCATAAGTAGCATTTCAGTCCCTTTCCCATTTGAAACTTAGATACTTCATTGCTCAGACCTGACCTATCACATAAAGCCTAATGCTGGTGGGGTTCTGGTTTGAAGGAGAGGTGGGCTGGGAAAAGTGGAGCTGAGCCATACTATAAATGCAGTCTGTTCACACCCCTTCTGCACTACTTAAGATAGGGAAATTGAAGCTGTAGTTTCAGGTGTTCCTGTCTCACTGTTGCTAGATTAGTGAGGGATCTCAGTAACCAACAACCACTGCAAGACTCTCACCCTATCAAGGAAAAAAGGAACAGCACTAAAATGGCTTTACTGTTAGATGCAGATGAACAATTGGATGCAGACATGTCTTTCAAGCCTTTTACAGGCCAACAGTTATGCACTTGCTCAGCCACCAAAATCTGTGTTCCACATAGGTTGGATTCATCTAGTTCCTTTCAGCCTCTTACATTTCAATGTATGAAGCCCCTGTATCTGTGTTTTGTGCTGGTGAGCCTGTGGTGTGTGTTGTTTGCACCCAGGATGAGAAATGCACTGAATCTGAAGATTGGAAGAGACCAGAGAAGAAAACAGCATACGTGCAGATTGCTGGTTACTTGAGGAAGTGCTTGGGAGGGAAAGGGAACAGTGTTTCTGATGCATGTTAGAGTTCAAGGACTGAACAGATAATAAAATCACTTGTAAAAACTTAAGTGGTCTGGCCAATTATAGGGACATCAACTAAACCGCCAAACTCAGGTGCCAGCTGGCAGGCCTGGGGAAAGTGTTTGTTCTTTGTACAGCATGCCTTGCAAACCCTGCTGCAGCAGATGGCTCTGGTTGGCCCTGTTGCTGACTGAGAGACTTAAGTACTGAATAAACTGAAGATGCTGAAGTCTCCTCTCTGTGTCTCCCAAGGGTAAGCTACTCTATTTTGGACTGAGATGCAGTGACTAGAAAGAAACATATGGTGTTATCAAAACTGTCTAGGTTCTCTTTTTTTTTCAGTCTGTATGTGTGTGTGTAATACAAGCATGGCTTTTGCATGGGTTTTTGTAAGTATCTCTGCAGTGACCTTGCTTCTACAGAAACAGTGCATGCACTGATTCTCCTGAATCTCTGGAAAAGGCTTCCTTCATATAAATGTACCTTGTGAAATGTGTTCAGGGAAGGTAGACGGAATGTGTAAAACCACATGCTTTAGCATAGGTATGGTGGTAACAGGGAAATCTGTTTTCTGTGTCATTTCTACAAAGCATGGATGACATGCAATGGCATGGAGTCCCTGCTCATGTCATGTGTTGTGTCTGCTTATTTGTTGTCTCTCTTTGAGACGCTATAGTCCTTCCCATTTTTTAAAAAGAATATATATGATAGCTTTTGACCTTTTTTACTGTATTTCTTTAATTTAAAAGTCGTCTGATGGATCAACGTTCAATACCATGAGCTTTTTGGATTGGGGGCTTTGTTTGGTTTCAGTTTTTTACTGTGGACTTGTAGTTTGAGGTAGGTCCAGGTTTGGAGGAAGGTTTGTGGGCTTTGTCTTAGCCAGCACTGACAGAAAACTTGTCCTGAACAAAGTCCAGGTGCAGCTGTGCTGCCTCAGCGCCTGGTCTGGGCCCCTGTAGCTCTGTGCACTCCTGCTGCTTGTGTGAGGGGCATAGGGACTGGGCCTGTGTATTTCACACAATCACAGAACCGATGAGCTTGGAAAAGACCTCTGAGAGCGTCGAGTCCAACCTCTGCCTGAACATCACCATATCAAGTAGACCACGTCCAGTCTTTCCTTAAACACCTCCAGGGCCAGTGACCACCACCTCCCTTAGCAGCCCCTTCCAATGTTTGATCGACCGTTCCGTGAAGAAATTGCGCCTAGTGTCCAAGCTTGAGGCCATGTCCTCTTGTCCTGTCACTGTTTCCCTGGGAGAAAACACCGCTGGAGCCTCCTTTCAGGCAGGTGTAGAGAGTGGTAAGGGTCTCCCCTAAGCCTCTCCCTCTCCATGCTCAACAGCAGTCCTGCTGCTCCCAGGACTTGTGCTCCAGAACTTACTTCTCCACAGCCCTGCGTCCCGCTTTCCCAAATGCCTTCAGGTTATTTTATAGATCCAAATGAAATATCAATTACAATTCCACCTCCTAAGAGCGGCGCTCCCATGCGCTCCTGCTGGCCGCGGTGTGTGCCAGCCCC